GAGGGTTGCTCAAAATTTTCAGACAATCTGGTTGAGGCTCACATGCAGGTCTAGGTTTTATTCAACTTGTATAGTTTTCTTCATCATATTTAGAGGAGCCACAGAGAACGATCCCCTCATTCTGGAAGTTTTCCGCACTTCTCTAGTAGAGAGCCTCCAGGCCGAGGCAAACATACCATCACTCACACTCGTCAGACGCACACAACTCTCATTACAATACGCAATTAGACAGAGCTCAACACCAGAGAACCCAGCACACGACTCCATTTTCAAAACAAACCCAGACCCCATAAACAAATTAAAAAACAACGAAAAGCTCATCAAACCCTTCGGCCTCAGAGTCCTTGAGGATCTAAAAAACATACACTTTTCCAAACAAGACCTCCAACAATTTATTTTCCCCGACCTCTCTCCATGGTACCTCACCAAGGCCAAAGTAGACTTCCAGCTGACCTCACACAACAAAGTAACCTCAAACACCAAAACATTTATTAAAGCAGAATAAACATTTAAAGTAGAATACAAAAACCTTATAGAAAAATACCCCGGTGCGGAGCTTATCTTCACAGATTGCTCCAAATGGGACTCTGGTGTAGGCGCCGCTACCCTATCCTCAAACAGTGCAGACCAGAGGAGACTCCCTCCCGAAGCCTCCTTTTTCTTTGCAGAGGTCACTGCCATTGACATGGCACTGGATTCTGTAGAAAAATCTCCCAACAAATCTTTCCCTATCCTGACTCTCTGTCTTGCATCACCTCACTTACAAACTACACACTCTTACTCCCAAAAATAGTTAGGTTACAATAAAAAAATACACGCTTTGACTGAAACTGGGAAAAGAATAGTGTTCGCATGGCTACCTAGCCATGTGGGCATTAGAGGTAACGAGCAGGTGGATCTCCTGGCGAAGGAATCCTTGTTCCTTCTGTTGGGATCAAGGACAAACACTCTCCCACAGACTGACTTTTAAAAATAAAGTAAAAAAACTACACCTCCAGTCTGTGGGAGACTCACTGGAAGAATCAAACCAACAACAAACTACTCAACATTACGCCCAAACTGGGTCCACGAAAACCTTCGGGCCTCTCCAGAAGAGACGAAGTTATTTTTACTTGATTACACATCGGACATACGTCCTTGACACATAAATGCCTCTTTCAGGGATATGAGAAGCCATTCTGTGTCGGATGCAACACAGATTTTACCATTGGACACATTTTGACAGAATGTCTAGACTTTGGAGAGACCCAAAGGAAATATTTTAGGTGCAAAAAATTGCAAGATCTGTTTTTCGTCGTTGATCCCAACAGAGTCCTCGATTATTATAAAGGCTATTGGCCTTTACGGAAAGTTGTGAAAAACGTTAAAATTTTAAATGTTGTTTAAAAAGTTATTTTAAATTAAGAATTTTTTTTACATCAAATTTTTAGCTTTTTAACATTTTGATTGAAATATTGACCAAAATCAGGCTGTGTGGTGAAATGTGGCAAATAAAACCAACTTGTTTCGGGCGCTCATATAACCTTATGCAGTCGCGAGCGCTGTAAAACTCTCACGAAGACAAACAAACATGAGAACGATGTGCCGAAAAGTAGGAAGGCATAGAATAATATCATGAGTCTAGCCCAGCATATGGAAAGGGAGAAAGTGTTTGTTTGTGGTCTTCACCCTGATGCAGTGTGAAAAAGGTGGTGATGGTGATGATTACAATCATCATCAGAGTTTTTTGGGAATTTAATTTCATGGTGCACCACATTGTATTTTTCTAAATACCCGTTGTCATTTTTGTAAGTCTTTACTTGTAAATAACATTAGAAACCAGACAAAAATGCTTGTGATAACAAGGTGGCTTGTGATTGCTTGCCGAAAACTAAATATATCACAAGAGTCCATTGTCGTTGTTTTTTGCTATACCGTTTTGTACGTTGTAGATGGGTGAATGTAGAACTGTGCTCTCTCTTTCAAGGTGAAAGTTATATCGTTTCTGCAACAGGTGGAGTAAATTGTAATAATTTCGGCCCAGTATATTCAAAATTTGACCAGAGTTGTTTATAAGCAAAGATGTGTTGAAAACTAGACTTATTTTAAAGTTTTATAATGCATTTTTTCTTTTTCAAACATCTTATTAACACTTCAGAGGTTGGATAAATTAAAAAGTAGTCTCAAGGGTGGCTGTGAACTGTTGCATACCCATGGGCTACTTTACTGTGTACAAGATATTATAAGGAATAATACTATAGGATGCTCAACACAAATTGTAGAGAGACATCAAAGATGAAAGACATAGAAGAGATACTTTAACTCTTTTGCTCTCATAGTGGTAAGCCCACTATGCCGGGGACCTCTTTTAGGTTTGAAATCTAAGTGAGGTATATATTACTAAATTGATCATTAAGTCAAAATGAATTAATCTGTTTTGATAGTTTTCATCTAATGAAAGAACTCCCTGTGAAAGAAATCTGTTTTTGGCAATTGCGGAAAACTAATTCGACGTGGAAGTTGTAAAGCACAGCGATTCCGACTGCGAGCTACTGGGAGCAGCTTTCCTGAGATAATGAGTTATAATCCTAAGTTTTGTTTGAGTGAGTAAGTGAGAGACACACAGACAGACTGAGAATGAGAACTGTAAATTAGTGTCGTAATAATCAAATGGGTAACAGGGAAAGATCAGGGGCTGGCGCTCATATGACCTTATGCAGTTGCGAGCGCCGTAAAACCCTCTACTAAAAAAAAAAAAAAAAAAGATCGGGGAAACGTAGCTTTTTTGAGAGCATCCGAGCAAAGGAATGAATGGAAAACCATGATCGCCGATGTCTGTCGCAGATCTGGCACTGGATGATGATGATGAATAATCACTGCTAAGCTGGTTTTTTTGCTTGATTTCAGAGTCCACACATTCACGGGTGATGTACTTCAGTCTGTTCTCCATGCTGTGTCTTCTGGGCCTTGCTACCTGGCAGGTGCTCTACCTCCGAAGATACTTCAAGGCCAAGAAACTGATTGAGTGATTTAGTTGCCGAGTGTGAATGTGTTTGGTTCCTGTGAAAGTTACAGATGGCGTGACTGTGACAGTAACTACGTGACGTTGTTTGTGTAGTGCTGAGTGAGTGTGTGGTGAAGCTTGCAGGGTTTTTACATAGCTCTTTGAAGAATGATTTGTTTTGTGCTTTTCCTTAGTTTGCACTTTTTTATGTTGAAAGTGGAGGGTGGTTTGGTTTCCCAGTGGTCTAAATTTTTTTTTTTTTTTTTTCCTTCACAGCATTATGACTTATTTCCTGACAAAATTTAGTCATGGCTAATGGAAAAGTTGATGAAAGCATAGTCATCTGTTGGGGTTACGTTAAGTTAACATGTATGGGTGTTGGATGTTAAGTTTCATGTTCCAAAGTTTTGTTTTATAGATGTAGATGTATATGATGCTCCATTTTAACTTAAAATGTTGGTTGGTACGTATTGACTGTGGATGCAAGGCGTGTTGTAAGTTCCTCTTTGTAGAATTTTATCTACTATTGTCTTGCACCTGGAAGTTTGTATAATCAAGTTAAATTGCTGCAGAGGGTGTAGTTTTTTCTTGAATTTGCAAGTGATGCATTTTATTGTAAAATCTCTGAAAGTCTTTATCCTGAAATTGCTGTTTTGCATGACCTACTAGAATTATATTTTTACACTCAGAGCATTGTCTGTTTCACCATGATATGCAAGTGCGATATCATCAGTTTTTTCCTCCCCTTTTTCTTGTTAAGGTCTCTGAATGACTATTCTGTTGGGACAGTTTAAAATATTGATGTATAATCTGTCGCAGTGATTTGTGCTGTCTTCTTAGATGAGTGCAGTCAGGGTACCTTGCAAAGGCTGTTGGAAAGAAGTCTTCACAGTTTGTCATCACTTAGCGTGACACAACTGAATTTTAGAATTAAAGTCTATAATTTGTCACCAAGTAAGAGGGTGGAAGTGTGAATTTTAGAATACTGGCATATTGAGAAGTGAAAAATATAACTCATTTAGTAAAGACTACCAACATATTAAATGCCCCTGGCCTTATTGACGAGTTCTATTTTCCATCTTCTGGAGAACTCCTTAACAGCTGCCATTTTATTCAATGATTATTATGATATAATTGAACTTTCCTTGTGTGGTTTTTTTTTTTTTTTTTGTTGGTTTTGCTGCTTTGTTTTTGTTTTCTTTTGATCATCATTGAAATAAAAATAATCTCATTAGGACTTTGAAGGCGTTTGACTTTTATTCTATAGGTGTATTTTGCAAAAAAAATTTCACTCGTTGGTCCGTTTGTTTAAAGTTTGGTAAATGTTTTATGTTTCCTTCCACACAAATTAATTTAGGTAATTATGGAGACACACAGTTTCAATCCTGCTTGTCAGGTTGAGCCTGAGCTGAGTGGGGTACCACGTCGATTAGAGAAACTGGTAGTGGATTAAATACAGTAAAACTCGGATATAACAGGACAGACGGTACTGGTAGTTTTTCCCTGTTATAAGCGAGTCCTGTTATAACTGTTATCAAGGGAAACTACCGGTACCATTGCACCTTCATCTTACGATCTATATATTTGATTACAACAGATTCTTTTCCAGTGGGCTATTTTTCTGACACTGAGATGGAATCGATCAGAGACCCCAACACTATGGGGGGTATGAGCTTGAAAGTTTGTGTTTAGGCAAGCGATCCTACAAACATGCGAAATGCCTTGGTTGAGGCAAATTTTGATAATTTTGACGGATCGAAAGCAAGTTCATGCGCTGCAAGATCACTGTTATATCCTAAATTGTTCGCAAATTGAACCCTATTATGTTATAGCCAGGTTCATATTACTTACACTTATACTTTTAGAGAAAAAACCAGGGATTTGATTTATCACTGTTGTATGGTCGCTTTTAAGCACAAGGAGGCTATCCCGAAAAATGCTGTTTTGAGAAAATTGAAGGTAAAGTCTGCCCCTTGTTCAGTTTCTTTAAAAGACAAGGAGAGTTTTCTGTATGACCAAACAAATATGCACACCAATGAAACCAAACTTCTCCTATAGGTAGGACAATGCCCACTTTTGGTGTAGGTCAAGATTTCTGGAAACCCCCGGAATCTGGGTTAGCCCACTTCTCCTGAAAAGCGACCATACCCGAGTTCCTGTAATAACAGAGGCTGTTATAAATGGACTGGACTATAACTTCCCCACATGGGACCTTCACATCTGTATCATGGGACTGCGAAGATTATAATCCTTACGCCAAAAATGCCAGTTCCATAAATTGTGAGAGTGGCTTGTTGTATTCACTTTCTAACATTGTGGCTGTTTTATGACTGCTCTTGTATCATGTCATTTCCAAACTTTCCCTCTTTCCTTCATTCTTCAAAAAATTTTTTTTATCAGTTGACCTCTGAATGGAGTTGTTTGGTCACCATGGTTGAATTATGATGAATCATCTCTCTATGTGAGCTACATGTCAACTCTGCCTTGAAGGAGTTGTTGAAACTAAGCTCTTTCCCTTGTTCTATTGTCTTTTCCTCCTACATAAACTACATTTTGCCCCTTCATCACTCCGTGTCCCTTCTTTGACTTATGTCTCATAAGGACTAAGACTAGAGGATCCACAGAAAACAAGAATGTGAATATATGGTACCTCTGATATGAACAAGCTCAAAGAGTGCCAAATTTTCTTTTAGCCTGGAGCCTGATGGGAAACAAAGTGTGTAGATTTAGAAATGGTCTTTTCTGTGTGTAGTAGTACCAGTAGGCTACATGATTTAAATTGTCTGAAAGGAGAACTAAAGTTTCTTAAGGATGGACTGGTTACTGCTTTCGTCTGTGTCTGCGTGTCTCTCTTTAATTACTCATACATGTAGTTACAAATTTGGGCACTTGAACTTGGAAGATGATACTTCTGATGAGTCCTACTTTTCCGATGTCTTCCACGATTTGTGCTCAGCATCCCACTAATCCTTTGTGATCTATGTCAATCACATTGAACTATACATCTCTTTATTTTATACCTTTCTCATTTTTGTGAGATAAAAGTATAAACGCACAAAATTGTTTGCAGTATGAATGGATGCAAAGTATAATGGATCCAGCAAAGTAGAAAAATTCCAACAAATTTGCAATGATGGTGTTTGACATTGAAGTTAATGTTCAAGTCCAACTCAGAACTTGAAGCTGTCACATAATTTAAGTGCAAATCATGCCAGGGAATGAGTTGTCTTTTGAGCAGCATTACCTCATGTGGCTATTTAGCGGAAGCTGTAAGATCAACAATCTTCCGATTTGAAAAAAAAATATCTTTGACCTGCATCTGTGGTGTAGTTGTTAGGTGCTTCCCTGTCGCACACAGGATGCCCAAGTTAAATTCCCAAGTGGGGTGAATTTTTATCGAGCATCTCGGTTTTTCCTCTGGGATGTGTCCCACTCAGCCAAGGTTGGCCCTGACAGGCAGGATCAGAAGCCTACCTCCTAAATAAATGATCTAAATTGTGTTGACGGGGGTGTAAAAACACCTACATTAAATTCTTTTTTCAGAGGGCACAAAGTTGAACCCAGTACTTAAAAGCATGGAACCCATGACCTCCATATTTTGAGGAACCTAAACATGTAAAGTGACTGGAAGTACCACATACTCATACTTTTACGTAAACAATTATTTCAGACATCTGCATGACAAAAATTATACAAAAGTGTACCAAGTGAAATTGGGAAAAGGTTTATTCATCATCATCAATAGCAGGTAAGTACAGGAAGCTAGAATTGCCCTTCCATATTCAAAATGTTACGTCATAAATGTATGGTAAAAACATACACAAGATGGACGGCATACATTTGTAAGTAGCTACTTTTATAACTTGTTTAATGTAAAAGGCAATGGCTTGTGTCACTAGAAAAAAATGTTTTGCCAAGTAACATATGTATCCTAGAACCCAGAAGATGAGAACGCACACTACATACATACATGATACATGTTTTGAGACTATTCTGTCTGAATATGTGGATTTCATCTGGAATAAGAATTCTCTGATTACGACATGTGAAAATGTCTGTCGTGAAGCGGCCAGACAGATCACAAGTTTACAAGGTGGAACCACTGAACCTCTGAGTGGGCATTTATAGTATAGTGGTTGTACTACTCTACATAATATAATTATTTTTTGTTTCTTTTTAATTCAGTTGAACTTGTCCAAGATGACTGTTCATTATCTAGGAGAAAAGTCGTCATCTTAGACAGGTGCCTCTTGGACAGTGTCTTGCATATAAAGAAAAAAAAATGCAAGAGGGGGAAGTGGTCATTTGTACGGGAGGCTGTCTTGGAACGGTGGTAATTAAAACAGGTTTGACTGGACTCACAGCATATTTTGCTTAAACTTTTTATTTTAGCTTTTGAGTTGTATCAGCCAAAGGAAACCAGCAACTCTTTGAAATGATCATTAACCTGTCTTGTTGTACACTGTACTAAACTAAATGTAGCAGAAATCAACTTTCATCTAGAGACATCCGCTTCTCTTTAAAGGCACAGAATTGCAAAACAAATGGCCCTGAGAAAAAAGCAAGTTCTTCAATCTAAGCTAAGGTCACTTTCAATGTGATCATGCTGTGGTAATTCTTGACAGAAGAAAATGTACAGATGCCACTGAATACATGTGAACAATTTTTCATCTGTTACTGGTAGCTATGGCAAGCTGACATTTATGATCTTTCAAAGGGAGCAGTATTCTCTGTAAACTTTTGATTTAGAGCTCTTCAACTTCAACCAGATATTTACGTTGTCCATTTCACAACTGAATGTATGATACACAAAAACAACTTGTACCCATCTACCTAGCATCTTTTTCTAATCTACAGAAAATGATCACAGCCTTTCGAAAGAATCACATAAAATATTTTTTGGTTAACAGAAATATTTGCCTTTTGCAAAAAGATTATAATCATGTAATAATTAAAATATTATAATACAATATTTTTCTACTTGAGCATCAAGTACTTAAGTATTTTCCTGGTAATATGGGTGCTATCTACAAGCTGCCCAGACCTACATGTTGAAATAAAAAAGAGAACAGTTACTCAGCTCTACACTTGTACTGACAATATTTCATAACAATCACTTTATAAAAATAAACTTGTTACTGCTTGTTCAGTAAGCACAAAGTAACAGCATTCTTATAAAAAGTCAAGCATGGCTGTAAAATACAAGCATAAAAATATATACCATGTACGTATAAAACACTCTCACAACACAACAAGGACGGTAAAATTTCTCTGTTTCAACAAGTGCTTTTGTATAAACAAGGAATGGAAATGGGAGATCGTGCATATATAATATATGTAAAGTAGCACTGACATGATATTTCAACAACTTCTAATTTTTAAGAACAGTAACAGAAGTAAATACATGATAAAAATTGCTCATTTCGAAAATTTATATACACAAAAGAAACCCCCAACTTTCCATACATATTTACATGGTTGAAAAAGTCGTCTACAGGTGAAGAAAAGCGAGGATCGGTGTACTGATTATGTATACCAGTCTACATAACTCAACTGTGCGTAAGCATAGGTACCGTACAGTTTGGGAGAAAGTCCATAGGTGAGGTGTTAGGCTGTTTCAAGACGCTTTTGTTACACCAGTGTTTCGGGTTTGATTTTTTTTAGTAATTCAAATTATTATTGTAATTGGCCGAATCCATAAAGGTCATTTAAAAATGTTAAATAAGGTTTTTCAAGGACATGTTTTATACGGTTGATTTTCTATCATTGGATATTTATTTTTAATGGCTAAACATAAGATGCCTCTGCATTAACTTGCTGTGGAGTAAACAATTTATACTAAAACTCTAAAAATAAGGTTACTGGTGCTTATAAAATAAAACCTGACCTCATGAGAACAAAGCCTTCACTTATCTGTTCCCTCTCTGCCTTAGACTGATGATAAGAGACTAGGAAAAATGGAAACTCAGTGAAAGCTCTTAGACTTGTGTATGTGTGGCAGTGAAGATTCACATCCTTCCATGAATTGGTTGGCGTCAGAGTATAAGGTCAGTTCCAACCTTGGCAAAAACTTTGGAGTATGGGGTTGAAATCCAGCTCAAGTCCCAATATTTCTCATTCTTTAAGAAACATTCATTACAAGGGTACCACAAACTCATCCTTAAATATAACCAATATGTTGGGTGAAGAAAAACGAAAAAATGTTACAGAAATACGAGACTGAAAACTCAAAAGTCGCACACTTGAGTGTGGTTTTTACGACGCACAAGTTTATCCTAACCACAATCAGAAGCCTTCAGTATCGATACATAATTTTTATCCCTTTTTGCCCGTCTGAGACAATCTGTGTTGCTAAAATTTGATGTTAGATGGGTAGACACACTTCACATACTACGTCTTCATTCCTGTACAACTCACAGTCAAGCTCACAACAACGCTGAGAAAATGAGCACATGAAAAGTAATTGAAATTGACAAGATCACATAAAGTAAAGCAGCAATTGATATAAAAATATGTTTTCTACTTCAGTTTCAGAGTAAACCTCACTGTCATAAATTGCCCAGCTCTAGAAACTGAATCTAATCTACCAGACATTGCGCATCCTCTTTAAAATTATTAGTTAGTAACTTCTTATTTTTGTCATTTTTTCCAACTGCGACTGCCCTAGAGCCGAGGCAAATCGCTTGCTGATGTTTTCGTAGCCAGCTTTAACGGCCAGGTCATAGGGCGTTTCTCCGCGATCGTTCTTGATGCTCTGATCTGCACCGGCTCTGTGGGAGAAAATAAATGTCCTTTCTGCGTAAAAATTTTGTTGTAAATTTTTATACTCCATTAGCAAAATGTAAATCTTCCAGGAAATAGGCTGCTTCATCACCCAATCTGTTGGGCTAATCCTTATTGAGGAGGAAATATCTCGGCAAAAACACAAAAGCTCTTCATTGAAATTTTCCCTAAATAGAGCAACAAACTTAGACGCAAGGTAAAGAATCAAACCATTACACCACAGATACTTATCAAAGTGTATAATTGACTGCATATGATACTAACGATGTCAGCTTTGAAAAATAGCAAATTTGTTGTTTTTAATTATATTTAGGAATCTTATACTAAAAAAACCCAACTAAAATATAAAAGGGAAAAGAACAAACAAACGAAAAAGCAAATACTCACGAAAGCAATGCATCAATGACTTTCATTCCAGTTGGACCAAGATTGACTGTTTCATGCAAGGCAGTATTTCCCTTTCTGCAGGCATAAAATAAGAAAAAAAACTTGGTGAAGCGAAATGAAAAAGAATTTGATCATCTTGCAGACCAAATTGAGGCGCTTGAAAAAACCCCCCAAAGATCATCACAGAGTTTGCTGTTTCTGAAATAGCGAGGAGCTGTAAGTGTTTGTTATTTTTATTCTGAGCCTTAGGTCGTCTGATGTAAGAGAAGCAACATGTGGTAAGATTAACTGGTTAAATAAAAGTACAGGTAAATATACATTATTTATTGGAAGCCAAAAAGTGGCCCAGAACACTGAAAATATATATATGTTAGTGATATTTCATTTTTTACATTGATGTTTTTATGAGAAAAGTGGGCCGAGCAAAACTTTTACTCAAACTTAAGTATACTAGGAGAATGATTAAAAAATAATCCGTCAAAATCATCACACGATATTTCAAAAACAAAAAACAATAGAAAACTCTAGTTTGTACACAAGTGTTGTATATACCTTCAAGTTTTTATTTCGTGTTTTAAAAGTGCTCAATGTGGCCACCACTGGCAGCACGGACAAAATCAAGCCGATGTGAGAATTCCTCCCAAACGCGCCTCGTGATGTCTCAGTCCACCACGTTGATCGTAGCTATTATTTGATATTTACTGTTATCGATACTTACCCTATCCGTACGCCCTGGGGTCATTTTGTACCTCCGGGGTTGTATTCTTCACATTTTAGAATACTTCTAGCGCGAAGATCTCTTTGACACTTTCAGTTTCAGTATCTCTCAAAAATCATGTTGACAGACTGCTATAAAAAGCGTACGGATTGGATTAACGCGTAAATTTTCTTTTGGAAAGTGGTGGCACAGAGTTCCCCACGTCGTATGGATACGATAGTAAAATACGAAGTACGGATAAGATTACCATACCCCCACAAGAACTGGCTATTCACTTTACTGCAAGTAGATTTGAATGGCTTCTTTTTCAGACGTGCCTCAGCGGTGGATTGGTAGGAGATGTGCTGAAGACCTCGCTCTCTGCGCTTGGCCTGCTGGATCCCTGGACCTCGAGATCACTGTGTGTGACTTTTTCTTGTGGGGGTACGAAAGATAAAGTTAATGTTCCACCTTTTTTTTGGCAAATATCGATGACATGAAAGATTGAACACCAGCTACAATCAACATGGTGGACTGAGACATCCTGAGGCGTGTTTGGGAGGAATTTTCACATCGGTTTGATGTTGTCCTTGTTGTCGGTGGAGGCCACATTGAGCACTTTTAAAACATGAAATAAAAACTTAAAGGTATATACAATACTTGTGTCCAAACCAGAGTTTTCTATTGTTCTTCGTTTTCTAAATATTGCGTGATGATTTAGGAGTTTAATTCTGAATCTAAAAAGCAGGATCTGAGCTGAGTTTTGTCATGTTCGTAAAAAAGAGGGTCTTGGGGTTGAGTTTTATAGTTTTGCAGGAAAAAGAACTCTGGTTTGAATGAGTAAGTGTTTCACAGTTTTAACAAACTTGACACTGATTAAGAAAATGACTCGGAAAAAAACTACTTACATAGCGGACGGTCCTTTTGCATTGACTTGAGCCCCTCCGTCTACGAGCACAGTCACGGCATCCACGTGACGATTTTTCACAGCCACATGGAGCGGAGGCATTTCATTCTTGTTAAGGCAGTTGGGGTCAGCTCCCTGTGAAATACACAATCCATGAAAGTGTCTCACTTTCCCTCTTCAGTCACAAAGATTTACTGCTGTTACAGTCAGAGAGTAATAAACCTTTACAAAATAATCTCTTTCAAAAAGAGAAGTTGCACTTTTAAAGGCTCTGAATGCCTGCCCAGTTTTGTTAAGGTAGATGCCGAATAAATACATCAAATGCATCCTGTACAAGTGTCATAAACAAATTTACAACCCCCTCCCCCTCTATTTTGATTGCTCTACAACATGATCCTCAACCCACAAAAAATTAGCTAAACAGTTTAGTGGCAGTACGTCAAGGTGGAAGTTAGCTTCTTACACAAGAGCTTCATTGTGTGAGGTTAACTTCTAACACAAGAGCTTCATTGTGTGAGGTTAACTTCTTACACAAGAGCTTCATTGTGTGAGGTTAACTTCTTACACAAGAGCTTCATTGTGTGAAGTTATCTTCTTACACAAGAGCGATGTCTCTATCTACAGTTATATCATGAGTGTTACGGATAGACTGGTGACATTTCTTGGTGGGCACTGACGAAATGTTCAAAATCTTGAACACAATGAGTATGTGTACAATGCCGCAAAGTGACTGACATTACTGCAGTCACAAGAATCTATCTTTAAAATATTATATCATAAAAGTCATTCACAATGTGTAGCATGTCACACAATTCTATGTTGTAAAGGAATACTAGAATAATACATGACACAGTAAAAAATTTAACTTCACGTCAGGTTGTACATGAGCCGCTCATAAGAAACATACTTTGTAAATATATACATTTATCTGCAGGAGACCATAGATTTCATCTTGTCTTCATTTACCAAATACATCAACATTGACTGGGCTGTGATGAATGCAACTCCCCCCCCCCAATAAGTCGTGCAAGATTTCTATTCTCCATGACATAATTTAGCAAATGGTCAGTGAGTAAAGATAAAGGTCTAAGTTAAACTTAGGCCCAAACCAAACTGATCCACCATATCACTCCTTGTGCAATGGCTTACATGTGTCATAAAACAGTGTAATATCACTCCTCCTTGTACAATGGCTTACATGTGTCATAAAACAGTGTAATATCACTCCTCCTTGTGCAATGGCTTACATGTGTCATAAAACAGTGTAATATCACTCCTCCTTGTGCAATGGCTTACATGTGTCATAAAACAGTGTAATATCACTCCTCCTTGTGCAATGGCTTACATGTGTCATAAAACAGTGTAATATCACTCCTCCTTGTGCAATGGCTTACATGTGTCATAAAACAGTGTAATATCACTCCTCCTTGTGCAATGGCTTACATGTGTCATAAAACAGTGTAATATCACTCCTCCTTGTGCAATGGCTTACATGTGTCATAAAACAGTGTAATATCACTCCTCCTTGTACAATGGCTTACATGTGTCATAAAACAGTGTAATATCACTCCTCCTTGTACAATGGCTTACATGTGTCATAAAACAGTGTAATATCACTCCTCCTTGTGCAATGGCTTACATGTGTCATAAAACAGTGTAGTAAATGTGCCAACAAGTTCCCACAAAAAGAAAAATCAATGTGAACTGAGCCTGGAGAGGACTTGAAGCAAAGAAGATTGTTTGGTTTATTCAAACCAACAATATATTACTCTTGCTCATAAGGTAGTGTGTCAACAAATACGCATTAACACAACAAAATTAAATCCAAGCAGCTACATAAAGGAAAGTTTTAGGGACTTTACACTCCCTCAGCAACAAACAAAATTCTCTTCCAGTGTCATTATCTGACTAATCGGGAAATACACAGCACAGCAGGGTGTAGTGCCATAGCGCCACCACTACTGTGATGTTCCATATTTCTGTTGAACTATAACTGAGGACAAAAACAAAAAAGACATGGATGTATCTTACGTCGTCCAAAAGTTGCTGAATATCACTGACGGAGACATCTCCTGAGGCGCCGAGCTCCTTAAAAAGTTTTGCGTTCAAAGGCTGGGAGAGGGAAACAGTATTTTAGAAAAAAAAAATTTTTCTTTAAAGCTCAATTTAAAGACCCAACGAAATAGTATCATTGTCATACATGTATATGTTGCAGTCGGAAGAAACTTCAAAAGACTTTCAACTAGTCCAGCCAAAAGGCTGTTGGGTCAACAAAAACAAAATCAACATGAGCAACAACAGCAACAAACAGAAAAAGACCCACTTCAACCATTGGAACCTCGATAAGTTTACTTACAGCTAAAGCAGTCCTCAAAAATATTTGAGAAACTCCAAGAATGGTTGTGATGCTGTGCATAAAAGAAAGGGTTTCCATTAAAAAATTTTAAAATCTTTATCCATAGTTTCTCAACACAGCTATGACATTGCCTCAAAACTCTGGGACAGACTTAGAATAGAGACAAAACAGTGAAAAATGCTTATCAAAATATTGATGAAAGAAATAATGAATATTTCTACCAATATTTTTGTCATTTTATAAAGCTGTCCCCGTGGTTTTATGCACCCCGCATAATTTACCAAAATTTGATTATTTTTTGCATAATTTCTGATTATTTTCCTTTATCATTCTTTGTTAAAATTAACAGAATCGCATAATTTCACATTTTTAGGCTCAGTGTGCATAATTTCAAAATGTTTCTTGCATAAAACGAAGGGGACAGAATAAAGTGCACATGAAAAAATGTAGGCATAATTTTGAATATTATCACTGAATATCACCTATGTAACATAACAATCACCATATTAATGTTCTTGTGTACATGTTTTAACTGTAAATACTGGTGACAGTTTCAATAAAGAATAAAACGAAATGAAACGAATAAACTTTACTTACAGACAACTTGGGAGCGACTTTCTTTTTTGGTTTTGGTTTTCGAACTTTCTTAACCCCATTGGATCGAGATGTGACAACTTCCTCCTCACTCTCTGAAGGACAAGAAAGGAAATGAATGATCAGAGACAAGAGAATCCCACAAAACATACAAGCCTCTTTGTGGGGAAGTAGAACAGGGCATGAGGTAAATCCACACAAGCTTTTTTTATATGAAGAGTGCAAGATGCCTACTCTTTCTATTAAAAATAAAAGTAAAAGTAAGGAAAAACACAACCCCCTCCTCAATCTTTGCCAATTTATTAGATCATAGCCTGCAGCTCCCTGTTCCTGTAAGACATAATAATAATAAATAGCATTTATACTGCGCATTTCCATTTCCTAAAAGATGCTCAATGCGCATTACAATGAAAAAGACATCACATCTTAAAAATTAATCGACAAGACATAGTTGTAACCCCATTGTGACCCCCACAGCGACCACAGATGTTGTGAACAAGGTCAGGAAGTTTGAAATAGCGGGAAGAAGCATTACTTTATTTTTATCATCTGACTGTTATTCTGCTTAAAGTTAAGTAAAGCTACTATAAATGATTCCAATATGCTGAACATCACTGCTCAACAAGAAGAAAAAGACCAACAACCACCCATCTGTTGTGTTGTTTCAGTCCAATGTTTTATTCTTTCTCAGCCCAAAGTGTCAATGTCATCAATGAAGCCAAGAAACTGAATAGATGTGCAGTTTGTTTTGTTTTAGTAGAGGTTTTACGGCGCTCGCAACTACATAAGGTCATGTGAGCGCCAGAAGATTAGAGGTGTTACAAGAGCAGAGAGTAACAAACACAAAAAAGAAGGAGGGGAGATAAGGACGATAGACGTTTGATAGGAAAGAAGAAGCAAACCACACCAGAGCACTCGCCAACCACCCACAGATGTGCAGTTTACGATGAGTCACAACCTTCACCACAAACGGGGGAGAACAACACAGCAGTCAAAGCCGATCATTCCAGTTCGCCTTGGAACCTTTTTTTAGGGGATACCAAATCATTACTATCATTATAATATATTTTTAAAAGACTACCCCAAGACCCTGTTTTTACAGGACATGACAAAACTCAGCTCAGATCCTGCTTTTTAAAATCAAAATTAGACTCGTTAAATTGTGAAACACATAGCTATTCAAACCCAAACTCTTTTTACAGCAAAAAACTTTTACAGATTATTTGCAGTTTTAAATACTATCATATTCTGAGCATGAGGTTAGGACTCAATTATACTTTCCATGTTAACTCATTGGAATCTACATGCAGAATGACCAGACCCGCTGAGGCTCAAAAGACCCTCTTTACTTGCAAGACATCACTCACCAAGTCGCTCATCCTACCAACATGAAATGGATTGGTGCTCATATGACCTTATGCAGTTGCGAGCGCTGTAAAATCTTACTAACACTAACTAAAACTGAAATGGATGCACGTGTCCTAATGTTCATCATTAATATCAAATACATTATTATAAATAATATAAATTTTACATTATTATAAATATTAATAAATATTATAGTTCTACCAGCACGTAGGTGGATGTGTTACATTAAAAACCGCTGGGGGAAAGCAGCAAAGGGAGGGGAGAGAAGGGAGGGGGGTATACCCGGAGGAGATTCAATAATAGAAAGAATCAACAAAGTTTCTTTTCACGTTATTAAAAAAAACAACAAACCCAAACAAAACAAACCGACTGACCTTCATCCTCTGAGTACATCTGATTGTCCAGCTGTGTGTGAGCGCTGAGGTAACCCTCTGATCGTGTCACTCCCAGCTGTTTGCCCAGAAACGGGTCCTTGCTGCCTCGGAGGGCAAAAGTCAACGTCAAGCTCATTTCGTAGCCATCCTCTTCAACTGCAGTTGTCAGTAGCTACAAGAAAAAAATTTATTTTTAAATGAAGTGATAAACCTGCCATACAAATAAAAAAACACAAAAAACCCAAAAAACAAACAAACCATGCTCTACAAATACAAGCTGAAAACCAGGAAAGACAAAAAGTATCCACATAATACATAATACATGTAGAGTAACGAACACATAAAAATAAGTCAGTGCATTACTTTGCTACTGTCCGCGTACATTGTAAGTTGTTACTGCTGTTATCGATCCAGGTGTGCATCGTATAACATATCCAAAACCAATCGTACAAAATTGTATCTTACAATTCACAGACTTTAGTAACTCATCAACACAGGACATTCCTTCTGAAGTGGGTGTCAGCTTTGACTTGACAGTCCTGAGGCAGGAAATATGTCTCTCATCGGTTTTATATTTATTGTGACGTATCTAAGATTCAGCAACAACTTGCCACTCTTTGGAGCCAAAATAACTGACTGAGGTCAATTTTGAGTTTGAAACAACTTGATATGAAATCTCTCCCTTGATCATTTTTTTTTCTAAAGCAAAATGAAAATTAATCCCAAATTCAATCCATCTGTATGTTTCAACATTTGTTTTGAAAGATGATACTCTGTGAAGTTAATAGTGTCCACACCTTTTTAATCTTTTTTTTTTTGAGTTGTCATTCATTCTTAACTTCAATATACTCTCACTTTTAGATTTCTTAACTCTATAACCACGGCTAGACGGTACCACCGTCCGATGCGAAGTTATTATTGTATTATGGTATGGGCCGAATACAAAAAAGTATGAGCTATCAAGCCTTTAGTTTGACCCGGAAGTCAAAGATAAATGAATTCTACATTTGGGAAATGCTTTATTGATCAGTTTGACATGAAACAAGCGGTTTAAAAAACGCAATACGCATTTCCACAAACACGAGAGAATTACGGGGAAACGTGATTTTAAATTGCATGGTTAAAGTTAAAGAGTTAACTAGTCTGCACAAGATGCTGGCTACATCTTTTCTGGACATTTTGTACAAAGAAAACAGAAATGCAGTTGAAATTGTCTAGGGCAGCCACCCATTGTTGAGAAGAAAAGAGGTTGTCTTAGACAGGTGGACTTCTCACACGGTGTCATTATCATGTAAAAAGATTGCAAAGGGGGGGGGGGGAGATGTGAAGAGGCTGTTTATACAAGTATGTGCTTTATACAGATAACCTCCAGAGAAGGTTTAACTCTATCCGTACGCCATGGGGTCATTTTGTACCCCCGGGGTTGTATTCTTCACATTTTGAATACTTCTAATACAAAGATCTCTTTGAAACTTTCAGTATTTCTCAAAAAATCATTTTGACAGACTGCTATGCAAAGCATACAGATCGGATTTGTGAGTAAATTTCTTCTTTGGAAAGTGGTGGCACAGAGTTTCCCACATCGTATGGATATGATAGTAAAACATGACGTACAGATAGGATCAACTGTAATTCAATTTTTAAAAAAAGAAATGTGTCATTTACTTGGATCCAATGAGGCAGATAACACACATATAAAAAAATCTCCACTTTCATACCTTGCCCATTTTTGGCTCTCCTATCAGAGCCCTAAATTCTGCGTCATTTTGTGTGTGTGCCTTGAGGTGCTGGCAGATGTGTTCTATTTGTTTCCTCCAATAGCCTGTAGCAGAAAAAAAGAGCAAAATATTATGCTAATAGTCTATGGCACAAAACCAAGAGAAACTGAGATTTCATCAAAATTACAAGTCCCCCAACATCATTTCTAAAAAGTTCCATAGACAGATTTGAGAAATAAAATCTAAACCCAGCCAACCGATGAGCACAAGAGTATTATAAAGAACAGAACTAGACTGCAATACAGAATGCTCGACCAAGTGAACATACTATTAACCCTTCCAGCCCCAGCCATTTTTGTGCACTCCCTAACCCCAGTCCCAGGCAATACAACAGTATTTCAGAAAAAGAGGCATGCATTCTAAAAAGTGATGTAGTATCTTTGTAATGAGGTTTAGGTAATAAAATATAACAATGTTTAAAGGTAAATGAACAAATATTATGAAAATTAAAGTTTAATTAGGTTCGTTAATTTAGGAAATGAGCAAATTCTGTACCCCATGAAACTGAGAATATACGCCCTTGGGACTGTGGGAGCTACAAGCGCTGCTGAAAATATACGTGCATGGGGCTGGAAGGGTTAACAATTCAGAATTGTAAGCCCTGTCTATAATAAGAAAAAAGTTCAATAAAAATAGATCCAATTGAAAAAAACCCAAAAAACTTTGTAATTGTTAAGTCCAGCAAACCCCCCCAAAATATAACAAAATAAAATCCCTACCTCTTCCTGGACTAACAGCGGTCAGCAACGGTCGCCGGTCCCTCATCTGTTTTTCAAAGGCCATCTTCTCCTCCTCTTGCTCTTTCGACTTGTCGATCTGCCGCTGCGATGGGTAGAACAGCCCGACGGTCTGGGTGGCCACGCTTTGAGTCATCTTCCGAGAGCGGAGTGAGTCGTCGCCCACGCTAGGCATCCCTTGCGGAGAAGGCACGATGAAACCAGCTGGGCTCACATTTACCGGCATCCACTGGTTCTGTGATGTTATGGTTTAGTTATATTCGTTGTGAAAAGAGGTTTACAGCATTTTCAACACACACCAACAAGTCATATTACAAGGGCTGAAGATTAAAAGTGTTACTAGAGAGTAGCATACAAAGAAAAGATGGTGCGGTAAAGACGATACATGTCTTAGTTTAGTTTTAGTAAGGTTTTATGGTGCTCGCAACTGCATAAGGTCATATGATGAGCGCCAAGGGGTGGATGTCAACAGAGAAGCCCAAACGGGGAATCAGACTTACTCTGCTCACCTCTCTAGCCTCAACAGCACAAAGTTGGCTTTGACTATCAAGGCTCCCGGGAAATAGCAATTCACAAGAGAGTGACAAACATACAAAAGAAGTAGAGGAAAATAGGAAATAAAAAGCAAACCATACCAGAGCACCCACCAACCACCCACTCGACCTTAAGTAGATAGTAAAAAGTTGGTTAAAAACCAGACAAGACAGCCTTTAGTTATATAAAATGTCCAACTATAAGACATATTTGACAGCAGAGTACTTTGTCTCTGGAAAAGTAGGAGACTGAATAGGGGCTCTTGTGGCCTAGAGGTTAACTTAGGTGTTCGCTTCTCATTCAAAGGTCCCCGATATGAATCCAGGTATCGAAGGAAAAATTTTCTTCTCTTAAATTGTCTCCTTTCACCTCCTTTCATGCTCTCTAGCTATATTTTGTTGTCGGCTTTCGTCTTCACGTTCTGCCCCCACCCCTTCACCTCCTTTGTCCCTCCTCTGGGCTTCTGATGCTTTCTGCAGCTTTCTACTGCTTCTCCTTGGCTCCTTCTTAGTGCTGTCTTTCAGCCACACCCCTGATCTTCTGATGGGAAAGATCCATACTTAGCCTTCTCGGACAATGGCGAAAAATCTCGGAGGTCCTGTGTGCAAGTAACGCACGTTAAAGATCCGTTGGTGGTCCAAAATTGATAAGAGTAGGCTTCAGCCACGACCCAGACAGAATTCAAAATTTCTAACCAACTAAAAATGTTTTATGTGTCCCGAACGCTCATATGATCTTATGAAGCTGTGAGTGCCATAAAACACTTACTAAAAAAAGAAAAAGAAAAAAAAAGAGACTGAATACAGATAAAAAGACAGAAAATGATTTTTTAGGAGCATTGATAATAGGTATATTACATTGATAACAAATTTTTGTATCAGTGGGAAAGGAGAGGAAAAAAGAAAACGGACAAACAGGAGAACAAGAAAGAAGAGAAGGGCTAAAATAAGAATGGGACGAATAAAAAGAAGGGAGAATATGGAGGATCTGTTGAGAGGTGGAATAGAGGAGAAGAAAGAGAGAAGCAGAGACTTCAAAAGGACAAATTGGGAACTAGCGACTGCAAAGGGAAGTGTAAACCTCGGCCACAAACCGAGAGAGCACAAATGGCAAAAATTGCAGTATTAGTTTTAGTAAGAGTTTTACGGCACTTGCAACACAATAAGGTCATATAAGTGCCGAAGATTAGAGGTGTTACAAGAGAGTAACGAACACAAAAGAGAAGAAAGGGAGATAAAGATGATAGATGTTTGATAGGATAGAAGAAGCAAACCACACCAAAGCACCCGCCAACCACCCACATTGCACGCAGTATTGACATGAAAACCCCCCAAAAAATCAAACTTTTACTCTTTAAGTACAGAATAAAGAAAAATGTTTAACAGTTATCACTGGACAAACACAAACCAGTGAAAAGTGCTGGAAATCATCATTCAATAGGTCAGTTACGACAATTTCTTCGTTTTAATTCCCATATTCAGGCAGCTGGTACAGAAAATGTGACTCACTGAACGTGACTTTACAAAAACAAAACAAGCAGTAAATATTACAAAAATAACAACAACAACAAAAACAATACATTGTAATAGCAGTAACGCTAGCAATAATGATGATGAAAATAAATATGACCCCAACATATCATCTGTGTTGAAAGAATTGCAGTTATAAAAAGTCCATTTGGGTACTTTTTATACCAGAGACAAAAAAACTAGTTTTTGTTGTGTTGTTCCTATCATGAATCATGAAAAGCAAGAAAATTGTAAGCCTTGACCATAGCATTAAACTGCATTTTGGAGATGGTGAAAGTACATTTTTGGTAGAGCTTTGGAAGGGTGTAAAAAAAAAGTTATCAAAATTTGGACTTGAGTAAATTGATTACGACATGACCGACGATAGGAATTCTGTTTCCTGTCCACACAGTGCAGTGTGACAACACCAAAGATATAGTATCTTTGATTTATACACTACAGCAACAGAGATAAGAATTAAGTCTGTGACATTCAGAGCGGTATCAGACCATAAAATAGACTTGTGAACCCAATTCCTGTGCTTCCAAAATAGTACATGTAAAAATAATAAATGCGCAGTAACAAGCTTTCCACTTCAGAAACACAAAATATGCCCACAAGGGCTTTCGACCACTATGTTACTTGAAAACATACTGATATGAGATCAGAAAACATTGGAAGGAGATCAGAGGTCATCTTTTGAGATCTCATCAAGAGCGCTTCTGGGAAGTGACTGGTGCGGGTGAAGAGTTGAAGAGACAAAGATGCAGTGATCATTTGTGCACCAGTAATTCCTTTATAACAAAATATTTAAAAAACTGGCTTGAGAAAAAATGCAATCTGGTGATAGAATTTTACTTGAAAGTGATCAAGTGAATCGGCAAAGAGAAATGCTTACGAAGTGGGCCATGATAAAGGAATATATATATATGTGTGCATTTATACCAAAATACAAGAACTAATATCCTATACATACATACATACCTCTGGGTCCTTGGTTGAGATCAAATGAAAAAAAATCCTAACTGTATGTAAAAGGCAAACAATGCAGCAGAGAAAAAGAGGGAGAGAAAGTGTGAGAGAGAGAGAGAGAGAGAGAGAGAGAGAGAGAGAGAGAGAGAGAGAGAGAGAGAGAGAGAGAGAGAGAGAGAGAGAGAGAGAGAGGGAGGGAGGGAGGGAGGGAGGGAGGGAGGGAGGGAGGGGAGAGAGAGAGAGAGAGAGAGAGAGAGAGAGAGAGAGAGAGAGAGAGAGAGAGAGAGAGAGAGAGAGAGAGGGTGTAAGTGTATATATGTATGTGAGTCTATTTGTTTATATATGTGCTGTGTCTCATTGTTAGATATAAGTCACATGTTTCAAAAGGGAGAATTGCCAAAGCAACAGTTAGCATTGCTTGCCACCTCTCTCTAAGCATCTGTGCCATACAAAGACAGTTATTTGGAATAGGCAAATATACTGATGGAACAACTTCAATAAGCCTGAAAAGATTCAGGAAAACACAACTGGTGCAAACAAGAGATGCCAATCCTTTTAGAAATCCATGCACAGGACAAATGTAGTGTTGTGAAATTCTCTAATGAATTATTATTATCATTTGTTAGCGACTTCCAAACATGAACTTCAAAACCTTGTAAGATAAGATAAGTTACATGGCTGCTAAACCAGTTCAAGAATAAAAATACAAGATGAATGACAGTTAGTTAGGTACAGTCAATGAGTTGAACCAACCCCCCCCCCCCCCCCCCCCCCAGCAAATCAGCGCAATGACGATCACATTTTTCTGGGGAACAGATATATTTATAAGGACAATACATAGAGTACCACTGGAAAGAAGTAGAAGAGGCAGGCCAAACCAGAGCACCTTCCAGCCACCGCCCGACATAACTATATAAGATAAGAGAGAGTGGATTTAGCAACAGAATTAAGGAGAGAAAGTAGCCAAAGATCACGATGACAATATAGAAAAACTATTTTCAACTCACAGCTCCTGGGTACTGTCCTGCTGATGTTGTTGTGAAACTGAAAGAAGAGAAGACCAAAATTACACACGTTTTGAATCATTTTCATCATTATTCATTATATTACTATTCTTATAATTATGCGCTTTATTGTATTTGAGTATACAGTAATCTCCGCCTAAGATCCGGTGCTCCGTAGCAAGGTGCGGGATCTTAGGCGAACAGAATCTTGGCCAACGAGCCCAGGGAAGAATCTACGGTGACCCATGTTAAGGCCCACAACCGGTAAAATGGTCTCCCTCCACTCTAAAATGAACTGACGTGATCCCTCGGGTGGGTTTATGAATGGCGAACAAAGAGTGGTTAACTTTGATGACCAATCACAGTGGCATGAGGCATACCATTAACACTTATCATCCTTTCCTAAGTCTCAAAATCTATACTTATCTAGTTGCCCCTCCCATTCACCAGTCCAAAATTTATTATAGCTTTCCATCTCTGACCGAGTTCCCCCTTCTTTGTCATTACACACCATACGTTGTGACCACACCAATCAAAATTCAGTCTTTCTTGCAAATTCAGGAACAGTGACAAAATTCTGCAATGGTCAGGGAAGAGTTCACAGTTTGATGTGATCCCGTCTTGAGTGAAATTTTAGGCCCCTAACCATCCAGCGAGTGATGTTAATTTAGGTGGAGAGCTCAGATGCGGGTGCAATGTTTGGGAAAAACAAACGTGTCCGTCAGTTCACACCTCGTGTAATCTCTTAAGGGCCACACATTGTCATGTGATCCCATTCATGAGAGTGGCTGATCTTTGATATGACAGGCAGTTCATTGATCTAAACCTTTCACTCTTGGTTGATCGGCTGTACCCACCTGGGTTTTTGTTACGTAAATTACGATCTGAAATGCGGGATCTTAGCCGATGTAGACTTTCAGAGTGAATCAGAGCGGGATCTTAGGGGTGACTTTTGTAGAGTAAAAATTATGTTTTCTTAAAACAGCGCAAGTGAACCGGGATTGTAAGTGGTGGGATCTTAGGCGGAGACTACTGTATATTTCAAAGTGTCCACTTAAATCACACACACTGTAAGTGTTTTCCTATTCAGTCTGTGGCACTCTGAAGAGACTTTCTCTAATGGTAAGGTACATCTATGTCGGCTCCTCAGGAGGGTGTAGGATAGCTATGGGAATATCATGGACTCAGTCACACAATTTTCAGAGTTAATTAGTTCACAGTTTTATTAAAGATCTTTTTCGAAGTATACATGTGCGAGTGAGTGGTTACACAAGACATAAAAACAGACACACACACACACACAAACGCAATCACACACATACTCTCAAACATGCAAACACATGCTTAAACATACACCTACAAATACATAGAGCCTCATGTCGACATCCACAGTCTAATACATAATACTCCAAAAGTGAGGAATCGACTTACTTCAGAAAATCAGCAGCTCGTGGGTATTTGGATTGGTCAAACTGGATCTGATACGGTGGATCCTGGCGAGAAGCTATAGGTCTTTCTGTGGCCCAGCTTAGGTCTTGGGAACCAATGCCATTAAATATCTGAAATGATAAAAAATGGGACTTCACAAGGAGGATTGAACACATTTCTTCTCAAGTCAAAAAATAGAAAAGTAAGTCCATGATAATGTAATATTATCAAAGATCCCAAAGTGCATATCATTCATTCACAGTTAGGTGTTATACAATGCCCCCTCCCCGCAACCCCCCCCCCAAATCACAACCCCCCAAAACAAACAAAAAGGAACCTTAGCTATTTTCAAAAAGTCCTTGAAATGCTAGGAAAAAAAAAGAATATAGTTCCTATTTTTTCCTGAAGTTAGGAGTTACAAAGGCATACATCATGCAGTCAAAGATTACAACAGAGTGTACTAATTCAAGGTGCCCAGGTTTACGTAAAGTCCCGTTAAAAATCTCAAGTATTTTAAAAAGTCACTGAAAAGCTGGTTAAGAATATAGTATCTCTTTTGATCTGAAGCTGGAGTTACAAAGGCAGGGTACATTGCAATCCCCCAAAATACCATTTTAACAAAGCGAAACCATGGCAATGCACAACACTACTTCTGAAAAGTTAATGGCATGGTTATTAAAACAAGTGATGTAGCGTGAAGATTTAATAAGGTTGGCTTTTTGTAATGATGTTGTGTAACAAAATCAAACTCTACTGCATTTCATTGGTTAAAAATAAATCACACGTTTGAAAGTTGTGGAATGGTTATATAAATCTCCAAAAATTTTCAGCGTAGCTCAACATAAAACAAACACTGATGAAATTGTAAAATTTTCACTTCTCGTTCCCTTTCTGTGAATTTTTTTTACCGAAAAGAAAAAAGAGAAATTTACATTTAGCTACCTTAGAATTACGAAGTTCTGTCTGACATTTTTGGCCGTTTTGAGTTACTAAGATCATGAGATCAGAAAAAATTAAATGTTTTATCTGTTCTATCAAAATTGTAAGATTATTCAGAGTCTTTATCAAGGTTTTCAAAGAATTGCATTCGAAAAAGCTTGATATGTTAACTCATTCGCTAGGCTAAAGTGCCGTCAGTACGCTAAGCCGCCCCCGGCGGCTCGAGAACCGATCTTCAATTTTAGCTTAGATTCTGTTCCAATCCACATATCCATGTTAAAATAAAGGTCATAATATAATGTTTACTTTCGGGTCAAGCATTTCCAGTGAAAATCGGAAGTTTAGATTCAGTTTTGAAACGCGATTTCGTAGTTTATTCGACTTTGTTTTATCGCGATGCTAAAATTATAGCCCGGACACTAGTCTTAGTAATTTTACACAACAAAATCTATCATTATTTTGCCCACTAAAGAAGTGTAGGACTCTTTTTTTATAATATTGATACGATTGGACTCATATTGCCAATGCATTGTTATTGAGAAATCAATATTTTTGAGTGCCAGATCTAAGTCTAGATCTAAATTGTCAAAATATTTTGTTCTCACCAAAATCACTACTTTTTGATGAAACTACACAAAAAAGTGTCTCTCAAGACATGTATAGGTTTATTCCAAATGCAATTCTGAATAATTCAATATATACGAGTTGTTGTTTTTTCTGTTTGTGATCGTTTTTCAAGATTATAAAAAATTATATTTTTTTTCAATATCGGATGTTATGATCCAAATGTACAAAATATTATGGAATGTATGTTAAATAACTGCAAACTTTTCAATATTTTCCATTTCTATATTCATTTACGGTTATTTTGATGTATCATTTGACTAGGTGCAAGCATATTTTTTGAGTTTCACCAAAGATTATAAAGTTTTTATTTTCAAATTTTATCCGCATCCAATCAAAATTGTGTTGCATAATTGCCTCTTACAGGAACCGCAGTTGAAAAATACATAAATAAACATTACAGATGTATTCAACAATCCATACTGAAAATATTGGTATATAATATGTTGATATTTATTTGAATTTGTGGCCCCAAAGACCTTTTAACTGCCCACTAGTCATCATCTCATTCGCTCTCCCGAAAAAAATTAATCCACAAGCCAGAAATAATATGTAGCGAATGAGTTAAGTAATGATATTCCAAATTTTTACGTCAAATTTTTCAAAACTAGGTACAGAGCATATAGAACTTTGCAATTCTGTGGTAGCAATTTGTCTAGCACTTATTCAAAAACTTGCGGAAAATAATGAAGAACTATCGTTTTTTTTTTTTTTGGTAAGTGTTTTTATGGTGCTCGCAACTGCATAAGGGTCATATGAACGAGCGCGCAGGACACATTTAACGTTTTCAGTTGTTAGGAAATTCTGAATTTTTGCCTGGGTGGCAGCTAAAACCTATTCTGATCTTATTGATTTTGGACCATCAAGGGATCTTTAACGTGCGCAACTTGCACACAGGACCTCCGAGATTTTTCGCCCTTGTCTGAGAAGGCTAGGTGAAGATCTTTCCTACCATAAGATCAGGGGTGAAAGACAGTTAGGAAGGAGCCGAGGAGTAGCAGTAGAAATTAAGGCTGCTGAAAGAGTCAGGCACCCAGAAGAGGAGGCAAAGGAGGTGATCGGGTGAGGGCAGAAAGTGAAGACAAAAGCAGACGACAGAACATTGCTAGAGAGCAGGATGGAAAGGATATATATATGAAAGGAGAAAATTTTACAGAAGAAAATTTTCTGTAGCTATCAAAATTCGAACCCATGACCTTTTGAATGAGAGGCGAACACCTTAACCTCTAGACCACGAGAGCCCCCCTGAAGCACAGTCTGAGATTTATCTCGTTGTATTAGATAAAAACAAAGTGATATATCAAACAGTATCTTTTACCATAATACAGTAAATATCTTCCTTCGTTAAAGAAAAGAGGAGCACCCAAAAGACTGGTTACATTTTTCCTTACAAGCATATTATATGGTGCCAGCAGCATTTCACCACCATTTTTGGGGGGGTTATTTTTTTTGACAATGCCTTGTCAAAAGACATTATTTTCTTTTAAACTTTACACACGCACATAAGCACAGAGAGGAAATAATCTAAGGGTGATAACTCATGAAAATCAAGTAATTGTCCTGAGTCGTTTCCCTTGAATTACTGAAGAAATGGAGCCACCTTATTTTTGAAGTTACCGTGAGTGAATAGAACAGGTGGATTGTTTTTCTTTTTTTTTATATGGGAAAAGGTGGGGAGGAGGTGAGAAAGAGGGTAATAAAGAAAAGAAAAGAAAGTTATTTACGTAAGGCTGTTCTGTTGCAGTTGTGTTGTATCCAGAAGCTTGCAGGTGGTCACTGCGTCTTGTTTCCAAAAACCTGGTCCCAGGAAAAGGCTTGTGCTTTGTTCTTCCTGTGACTTCCATATCTGCCATAAGGAACAACAGAGATAGGTATGAGTATTTGGGAATAGATAAAAACAATAATAAACAGAAAATAATATAACACACTAAAACGCTATAATATTATTAACTCCCCTTTCAGCTAAAGTTATTCCCCTTGATTTAGTTATTCCCCTTGGTAAAAACATCATACATCTTGAAAACTGCCCGTATCTAAGGTATTCTTTTATTTAACAACATGTCTGAAAAACTTAACTACAGAGTCAAATAATTCTTTAAACATTATTGATTGTTATTGAGATGACAGTACACTATGATTTTTTAATGTGAGTAAAAATTTCCACATATAAAATATCTAAACCTTACTCATGTAAAGTATTAAAAAATGGTTTATACGATTAAAAGCAATCAATCATTGATCAAAAACGCAAATCCCGAATGCACTGCCACAGTCACTGGCTCATGCCTTTGAATGCCACGCATTAGGGTACAGCAAACCTTGAGCCTAAAGGAAGCAGGGCGTCCATAATGACGTCTCTGTGTCCGAAGGCTCACGGACATTTTTATTAAACCCATCACTGATGGGTCCACTGATACAAGATTAAAGAAAAACTGGTTCTTCATCTTAAACATCATAGGACAGATGACAGTAGAGGTGTGCGAGTCCAGCATATTAAGATTCGAGTCTGGACTCGAGTATCTGCTCTGGACTCGAGTAATCATT